GATGAGTAGTGATCATCGTGTTCAGATGAGGCGGCCTCGATAAAATGTTTCCAATTCTTGCACACAAGTTTACATCGGATTAGAATTTTTACTGGCAGTCGCATAAGAATCTCTAAGATGATATCTTGGCTAAGAAACGGCAAGTGATCGCCATGCATCATTATTTCCCTTTGTGAGGAAGAACAATCTCTCGGAATAGCTCTAGGCACATAGATCTCCCATGCTCATCTTGGGATGGATTGATTCTGGGATCCTAGACATTGATGATGTGCATGTAGTAACCTGTGATGGACCTGAAAAAGAGGATGAAATTTAGGCGTTTCAATAGGAGGCAATAGTTATATACTTATATGAGAAATACTTGCATGCTCCTAACAACACCAACTCATCTGTGGTCTATCCAACAATTAAGAATGTTCCAACTCACGTTATTTTAATCCCCCATGTCAGCTTACTAAATTATTTGAATATTTTTGTTAAACTATACTTTGAATGAGCCTTTCCCCGCAGCAACGTGCTGGCTTGTGGTTTTAATTTAAAGGAAGAAAATTCACTGTTCTGCTTTTAAAAAAATAGAAAAAAAATGAAATTATTAAAAATTCAATCTATTTATTTATTATCTATTACCATCAATCATCAATATTTTCATAAACGTCGTGGCTTCACAATGAGCGGGCCACGTGCTGTGCTTTTATTGGCTTGGTTTGTTTGATGTCATCACATAAGCTTGTGTTTATTTTTTATTTTTTGGAGTGATCTCATCCGGTATACTAGATAAACCATCTTTCAGATATGTCAATGGCCAGACTAATCTAGATTTGCTAATTGTAGACATTTTGAAGGGTAAGATATAGCTGGTCAGGGATTTAACTAAGCTTGTGTTTAATTATTGGCTCCTTGTGTTTTGCCCTTTTGCTTCCATTTACTCTTTCTGATATGAACTTTGGGATGAGTTATTTGTTAAGGATAACTCTATTTTGCATTTGAAGAGCTTGCTTATTCAATGCGGAATCGTTTCACTTCCCTAGGATGCTTGCAGGTGATTGGTGCTATTGGGTTCATGATCGAGGGCTAGAAATTCCATAAAGGATGTTGATCACAAGTGGGTTGCTATAATTGAGCTTCTAGCATTGGTGTATATTCTGTTTGTTCTGTCATATTAATTTTTGTATCTTTTTTTGCAGCCCAAGGCATAAATCTTAAGCACTTGCAAAGGAAATGATCATATATCTCAAATTATAGGAAATGAGAGGAAAGAAAATTTTAAACCTCAAAATCGGCTATGATAATAAAGATGAATGTGTTCGACTCACTATTAGGATGGAAAAGATGTTTCACCACTTTGCTTTCTTCTTCGTGAAGCTTCTCTTTCTCATATAGAGCTCAAGAAAGAAGACATAAGAAATCCATTCTTCTCAATTTTCAGCGTTATGTGTCTTTGTTATCAAGAACATATAAGTGTGTGCTCACCTTTTTTATTAATGCAATCAGATTCTTTTGAGATACAATGGAATTAGCAAGTTTGAAGCGATTTTTTTGGTAATATTTTCTCTTCTATAAGAACTGGGTGTTGTTTTTCTAAAACTCTATTATGAATCTCATCATCATAAATCTTGATAACTCTCCATTTTCTTCCTTTGGCTGCGTATTTACTTTGAGATATCAAATAAAAAATAAAATATTTTAGATTTAAACTTGAAATTATTTTACTTTAGATATTTTTGTTAGAATATTGCTTACAATTTTTTTAAATTTTAATTACACATTAAGATTATTTTATCTTAGTTTTTTTTATTTTTTTCTATTTCCATGATTTAAAGCTTGTAATATGGGGGAACTAAAACCAATCGGAATTTTTTTATCGGCAAAAATATCCGCTTACTAGAAATAATATTGTTTGAGCCACTACTAAATATTAACTGCGAGTATCTCTTTTAACAAATATTAAAAACAATCTAAATTAAAGCTGGTACTTTTACTGCTACTTCGTGGCGGCACCACAAACCAAACAAGTCAACGTGTTTTATCTATTATTTTAACGAATGATTTTGTACCTTTTGAAAATGATGGCCAAAAACTACTTTTTTTCATGCAAACTACCTATTCCTTTGTTTTTCATATTTTATTTTCCACATTTTGAATTTGAATTCAATTTTAATTATCAAATAAATATAATAACGTTTTAAAATTGAATTTAAATTTAAACTTGGGATACTTAATATGTAAATCTTTATAGTTTCAACTAATTTTTAATTTAGATTCTTATTATTTTTTTTTTTTTTTAGATTATTATATTTTCATTTGTTTTTAATTAGGTTCATGTAGATTTTTTTTTTTTTTTATTAGGCCCCCGTAGTTCCACATTGTTTTTAATTAGGTCCCTCAGAATTTTTATTCTTTATTCTATGAATTCCACTAATATTATTTTATAAAAATAAAATATAACTAATTATAATATTATATATATAGCAATATTATACAAATAATAAATTATTATTATAATTTTATTGAGATGTTCTTTTAAATTTTCTATTTAAAATACATATGTATCTTATCTATTTTTACAATAATAAAATCCGAATGATAATTAAAAAATTTTAAAAAACAAAATATACTTGTAATTAATTCATTATTAGTTATTCAAATTAATTACTAGTTATTAATTCTATTAATATTTTATATTTAAATATTTATTATTAAATTTTACATTTCGACATATTTATTTAATTAATTTTAAAATAAATAAAAAATATACAAAGACCTTATTAAAATCAATTGTAATTATAAGGACTGATAAAAAAAAAAAGCAAGGGCCTAATTAAAAATATATAAAAATATAAGGAACTAATTAAAAATTGGTTGAAACTATAATGATTTACAAATTAATTGTCCCTTTAAATTTCAAATTATTTGATTTCACACATTTTTATGGGATCAGAGACAAATAATTGAATCACAAAAATGTGACAAAACTTGGGGGCAAGAATCACTAAACCAGTCAAGTTGGCCTCAAATCAATCAAAACTGGTAAAAACAACCAGCAATGAAAATCGTAGGTCTCCTTGATGGGCGAGGACCTCACACGCTTGTAGAACATATTTCGAAATTCACATTTTTAGGTAGCATGGCTAATACATATGTTTTATTATTTACCCTGACCTATAAATAAAAAAAAATTGTTTGTGATGTTAAAATGAAAGCATCCCCTTCTTGCTTTTTTAATTGAAAGTATCCTAACTTTGATCCTCTATCATCATAGGACAGTCAAAAACAACCTCACATGTAACCAAAATTATAAAGTATCAAATTTAAGAAGAACGTTATGGAATTTAAGAAAGAACATAAAAGACAGAGAAGAACAGAAGAGTATCGAAAGAAAAGAGAAACTGAGAATAAGATAGAATTCAAAGGAAATCTGAATATAGTTCACTAATGATCAACCAATCAACAGTTACAAATGATGTAGGGAGTCCTTATTTATAGCTGCACATCTCTATCTACTCCCATGACAGCTAGTTTAGATAGACATCAATCATAACAACTCATAACTACTAACGGTCTATGACCAACTAGCTACTTCACATGTACTTTGCATAACAATGCCCCCTCAGAACAACCCTTGCCCTCAAAGGTCAATGATTTGGAAATCTGGAAATTGTTTTTGCAGATTAAACAAAGAAATCCAGGTTGCTTCTTCATCTGGAAGCCCTCTCCACTGAACCAGAACTACCGTAATTGTCCTCTTTTTCTTCCTTCCAATTCTCTTGCTCAATATATTCTCAGGATAAGGAATAGTAGAGGTAGCTAGCTACTCAACAAGAGGGAGTCTTTGCTTAACAGTTGGGTCAGGACAGAATTTAAGCAAAGAAACATGGAAAGTTGAGTGACGCGAGACTCAGCATTATGATCTGTTCACCCATAACTGACAAATATACATGCTAAAAGGCTTTGTCGCTTTTTCCATAAGAGAATAAATTATATCAAGAAAAAAAGACATATAAAGCACCTGCAGGACGAAATCTCCTCTAACCCTCTTAATTAGAAACAAAAACAGATAAGAATGAAAAATAGAAACATGATCGTGCAGCCTATGAACCTATCATGCATTGTTTCCACAAAATCAAGTAGTGTCCAGGTCTAACATTTGTAGAAGCTTATTGTAGAAATGATGCTACTTATTCAAATTATAAATGGACACTAAAATTTTATAGTGCATGTCTTAGTCATGTCTCAAGTCTGAGCCAATCCCATATACATCAGCCCCTTAACCATCTAATAAAGTGAGCCTCTTCAAAAAGCCACACCAAGAGAGAACGCAAAAGATTTTCCATCGCACAGGGGATCTAAAGACAACCAAACACCTCAAAAATTACCAGTATTTCATTCCAAACAAAAGTTCCATGTCACAGCAAAAGCCATGCATTGCCAGAATGTCATCCCCTCCTTTTCTATCCAAAACTTTTGAACCATATGTGCATTGTCCACTGGGAGGCAATATACTATAAAACAATCTCAAGTACAAGACATGATTCTCACACTTGATGATCACATCACCCAGTTGAACAGGATGCAAGATGCGTGTTTTTATTTCAGAAAGGTTCGAAGCTCATTTATGAATGACAATATACTTAGCATAAAAAATATCTACAGGAAAATAAAGGGTAAAAACATTGCATTCAATAAAAAATTCATTTCAAGTTGCCTTCCAAAATAAAATTGCGAAACCAGAGAACATAGCATGGCGTGAAGCTACTTGAATGTTAACCATATTCTACTTATCAACCTTCTAAAAAACATTGAAATAACAAGTTATGTTGTCTTCACAAGGATCAAAACACTTTCCCGAAATCATAATAGTCATCAGATTTTCTACAGAAACATGCCAAATACGTAACTCTTATACTAACAACATGATAAATAATGAGTATGTGATTCTTACAACTTAGAATCACATATAAAAGTGTATAAGGGTCTTATATTTAGGACCCAAAGAATATTTTATTAGAGCTACCTATATAGCTTAGTTCATTGAGTCCCTTGGCATGTACACATGTAATGATGATAAGAAACCTTCAGGAGGACTTTGGTTTGGACGGAAGATTCACTGCTTTTGCCTGCACGGAGGAGGGTTTTGAAAACCAAGTGGTATACAGAAACTGCTTATGAGCACCTACATGGTTGCATATGAGTCGAACCTTCTGCCTCTCTCTCATCCATCTCAATACGATCTTCATATGCCTCTTGCACCTCAAATCTTTCAATCCTACTTCCTAAACACAGTGATACCATCCATCATTATGTATTCTTATAGAAAAGCAACTACACCCAAAAAAAAAAAAAAAAAAGTCATATACAAAGCAACCATCAATCATCACTTCTGCTACTTTTTCAGAATTTTCTTCTCTTAGGAGGATGCCCATCAATTGTATTTTTCTTCTCTCTTCATAAAGTTCTTTTGTCATCAATGTAATTGACATGAGGACAAGATGAAAGTGATTCTTTTTTTGGGAACTAGAAATTCATTTCGTCCCCTGGGTTTCATTCATCTTACCCTAGGCTGAAAATTCTTCCACAGCCTAATTACTTTGTAAGATAACATAAAGTCCATTGCAAATGCAATGTTAGGGAACGATTTATTAAGCCAAAATCAGGGTATCCTTCTTATGATCACCAATCAAGCAACAGTTGATAATAAGAAAATGCAATGAGTGTGCCAAGCCAAAAAAATTTCAACTGGATAATTACGGGCCTCAGTGATACTCAGCATGTGTCTGACTTCAAGAGATAGCCTTGCAGGAAAAAAGCACATAGAGTTGAATTTTATGACTACTTCAGAAACTAAATGGAAGTATCAAAAAGAGACAATATGTTCAGATGCTAACCTTGACATGTTCCCACGTCTCTGCAATGGTGAGAGGGCCATGCTCCTTCACAATATCAAAGAGAACCCTAGTGATCGTTTGTGCATGCTCTGGTGGAGTTTTGAGTTCTATAGGTTTCGCCTTTGGCTTTGATGTCTTAGCAGCATACCTAATCACTGTCCCAAACATCTACCAAGAAATGACAAAAAGTTTCACATGAGAAAATTTTTTACGCTCATACCATATTTTGGAGGCTGAGATTTTCCTGAAATGAAGACTAACTGAAATATCCCCATAGAATTATAAGATGGAAAAGTGAAAAAAAGTACTCAATAATATTACACACACATAGGCCAAGGTACCGGAAACTCAAATAGGCTTCCTATCAGAAGGATCAGGACCTAGTTTAGAGAGCATAGTGAAAAATGGGGACCAACTTATACCAACACTTCAGCTTTGTTTTTAATTTTTATTTTATTTTATTGTTTTCCCACAAAGAACAAGAAACTTGTTAGCAATTGATGAAATGGTCAAAACCAACTCCATTGATTCTCTCATAAACATGATAGCCAATGAGCAAGACAGAAAAATTTAGTTGAATATTAATTGGCATCCTTTTGGAACTAGAAGTTACATTATACATGCACACAACATAACCGAAGGAAATTAATGAAACATGTCAAGATAAGTTAAGTACTGAAGGAGTTCGCAGACTACAAATTAGTTGAGACTCAAACAAATCCGTCCATATGCTAGTGAGGCTCGAAGAACTATGAAGAACATAGATGCATATGCGTGTTCGCGCGCGCGCCAAAGAAAACTCAGAAATAGACTTTACTACTTACCAGTGAAATGAGAGAAGTTCAACACATCAAACCTAAATTGCAATCCAAAATAAAATCGGGAAACCAGAGAACAAAGCACGACGTGCAGCTACTTGAATGTTAACCATATTCTACTTATCAACCTGTGAAGAAAAATTGAAATAACATGTATTTACGTTATCTTCACAAGGATCCAAACAATTTCTCGAAAACATACCGCAAAAGAAGGAGGAAACTGAAAGCAAGGAGGAGCTCATCATTCAAAAACAAATAATGCATAAACAAACGCCAAATGGTTCAGAGCAAACGGAGAATACATGAATTGAAATTTAAGAAGAAAATTGATAGAGCAATACGAGGACGTACAGTTGAACCCGATGCAGAAACCTTGAACAAGACTGCAAAAGGATCATCGAATCGAAACCAGATGGGGGTGTTCCAGTGAGGTACGGAGGAGAGCTCAGAACGAAAGTTTAATTAGCGGCGGGAACCCCCCCCCAATCTGCATCTGTTTATAAAAATCAGATTTGTTAAATATGAATTTTATTAAGCATCCGGTTCTAATTATAAGAGTTAGTTGACTAATTTAAGAAAATTAAAAAAATAAGTTAAGTTAGTTATTTGTAATAAATAAGTATTATTTTTCTTAAAATATCATTACTAATTAAATATATTGATTAGAAATATCATTATTAAAAGGGCTACTTTGAAGGGAAAAAGCATAAATATTAGAGACAAAATGGATTGAGGTCTTATATTTAGGACCAAAATAAAAATCAAATAAGGTCTTATATTAAAGACAGGAGGTATTATTTCATATTATATATATTAGATGACCATTTTAAAAAAAGTTATTGAAATGAAATTATTAAAAATGAAGAAATTTAATTTATTAATGATCCTAATAGTATTATTCACCGCATTGGCAACTAAAAAAGTAACTTAGGAGAACTTATTATCGAAATCCAATTCAAGTCAAGATGTCCTGTAATTACTAAAAGGTGAGCCTAAACACTACTAGGGGTATTTGGATAAATACCAAACTATAATTTTAAAAGTATTTTACAGTATACGAAGTAAATATGTGAAAGAGTTTGTCTTAATTTGTGAAAAGATACTTTTTAAAGCACTTTTACCACTTGCCAAACACCCCCTAAATTTCATAACTCCAACTTTCCTATTGAGATGCAGCTTGAGCACCCAAACAGCATCCAAACATCCTAAGATGAGCATGGCCAAAACCTTTGGACCTTTAGACAATTAAGATCTAATTTGAATGTTCTAGATTTTTTTAATTAATTATTTTTATATAATAAAAATATTTTTAAAAAAAGTGATAGTTAATAAATCGTTTTTCATTTAAATATTATATTTATTAATATAATATTTTTAAAAAATAAAAAAGATAAAAATTAAACCTGAACTACCTAAATCTCATTTTAACTGTCTAGATAAGATTAGCTTTAAGTGCTCATCTTTAAAACAAGTATATAAACGCATTCTGGCTGGGAACTGAATGCGTCTTCTAATATAGGCGCCTTTTTGTTCGCTATTTTTTTTCCTAAAAAATATTATTTAGTAATATATAATTAAAATTTAAAAATCACAACCCATACTTTTTAGCCAAAAAAGTTAGGATCATATATCGCTTCGGGAAACATGGGCATTGAAAATCTTAAAAGCCCGTAGGTTCCCAATTTTGAAGGGTAAATAGGGCTATCAAGCTTAGCCCTTGGAGCGAGGATTGGGCAAACTTAAATCAAAGGGAAAATGACAATAAAATACCACTTGAATTCTAAAAGGACAAATAAGGGACCTGAATAAGCAAAATGACAAATAAGGCACTGGGTACCAATCTGGAATTCATATTTTCGGCCAAAAGACCAAAACGCCCTGATGAATGCGGGAAGACTGAAAGCTGAAAGTGAGAGAAAGGAGAGAGGAAGACCGACGCTGATGAAATGCGGGAAGAAAGAAAGAAGAATGTTGGAAATGCTATTATCTTACTCCTTCGCATCACCATTCTGTAGAGATTGTTGATTTTGGTTGGGGAAAGAGGATTTGTAGTGAGAGAGGGAGTGAACTGAAGCGGAAATCAGCAAGCAATTACGTAACGTAACTGCTGTGATATGCTTGCTGGTTTTTGGTAAATCCCATACGTGAATGGTAAATTTCACTATACATGTAGTTAATTATGAATTTTACAAAATACATATTGTGATTTATAACTTTGTAGTGAAAGTGACTACTTTGTTAATGGGTTTGCAACCTGTTTTCAGGAGATAAACAACTTGTTTGTAAAAAACTAATAAAAGTGACAACTTTTGTAGTCACGTTGAATTAACTGGTTGCAAAAGCCATTTAAGAAGTGGTCATTTTCACTATAAAAGTTGTAAATATCACTGTGTATTTTGTAAAATTCAGCGTCAAATTTTATTGATTTTTAGAAACAAGTTGCTCATCCCCTGAAAAGAGGTTGCAAAACTCATTTAAGAAGTGGTAATTTTCACTACAAAAGTTGTAAATATCACTGTGTGTTTTGTAAAATTCAGCATGGAATTTTATTGGTTTTAGAAACAAGTTGCTCATCCCCTGAAAAGAGGTTGCAAAACTCATTTAAGAAGTGGTCATTTTCACTATAAAAGTTGTAAATATCACTGTGTGTTTTGTAAAATTCAGTATCAATTTTATTGATATTTTAGAAACAAGTTGCTCATCTCCTGAAAAGAGGTTGCAAAACTCATTTAAGAAGTGGTAATTTTCACTACAAAAGTTGTAAAATCACTGTGTGTTTTGTAAAATTCAGCATGGAATTTATTGGTTTTTAGAAACAAGTTGCTCATCCCCTGAAAAAGAGGTTGCAAAACTCATTTAAGAAGTGGTAATTTTCACTACAAAAGTTGTAAATATCACTCTATGTTTTGTAAAATTCAGCATGGAATTTTATTGGTTTTTAGAAACAAGTTGCCAATTCCTTAAAAAGAGGTTGCAAAACTCATTTAGAAGTGGTAATTTTCACTACGAAAGTTGTAAATCTCACTATGTGTTTTGTCAAATTTAGTAGGAAATTTTATTAGTTTTTAGAAACAAGCTGCCCATCCCTGAAAACAAGTTACAAAACCCATTGAATAAGTGGTCATTTTTACTACGGAAGTTGTAAATCCCACTATACGTTTTGTCAAATTTAGCGTGAAATTTTATTAGTTTTTACAAACAAGTTGTTTATCTCCTGAAAACAGGTTGCAAAACCCATTAACAAAGTAGTCACTTTCACTACAAAAGTTGTAAATCACAATATGTATTTTGTAAAATTCATAATTAACTACATGTATAGTGAAATTTACCATTCACGTAATGGGATTTACCAAAAACCAGCAGGCATATGACAGCAGTTACGTTATGTAATTGCTTGCTGATTTCCGCTTCGGTTCTACTCCTCTCTCACTACAAATCTTCTTTCCCACAACCAAAATCAACAATCTCTACAGAATGGTGATGCGAAAGAGTCAGATAATAACATTTCCAACATTTTTCTTTCCTTCTTCCCGTATTTCATCAGCGTCGGTCTTCCTCTCTCCTTTCTCTCACTGCGTCGATTTTCCTCTCTCCTTTCTCTCACTTTCAGCTTTCGGTCTTCCCGCATTCATCAGGGCGTTTTGGTCTTTTGGTCGAAAATATTAATTCCAGATTGGTTCCCAGTGACCTCCTTGTCATTTTGCTTATTCATGTCCCTTATTTGTCCTTTTAGAATTCAAGTGGTATTTTATTGTCATTTTCCCTAAATCAAAATACCATTCGCTTCTTCTGGCAGCTAATTCAACAATGTCTGCCCATTATTGACATAATAAGCTCTATACGAAATACTGACATGAATAGAAAAAAGACGGTTTGAATACTATCTACTAACATTACCAAAAACATTGCTACAATACTTTTTCGAGAAGGTTTTATTGAAAACATGAGAAAACACAGGGAGAACAGTAATTTCTAGTCTGCATGGTCTAATTATTGATTCTTAGGGGTGTGTTTGATGATGAAACCAAACCGTGGTTTAGAAAAGTGATTTTGGAGATAGATTCTGGAAAGAATAGGTTTTATGAAAAGTGATTTTAAGAAATGAGAGTGTTTGGATAGTTGTTATCAGAAGCACTTTTTATAATAACAAATTACTAAAAAAAAAAGACATAAGTTAATATGATAATTACAGAAAAATAGATTTTATGATATATTTTAATTTGAAGGAATAAAATTGTTAATAATATATTTTTTTATTAACATAATTAATAATACATAAGATAATATAATTAATAAATAATATATGTATATATATTTATAAAATATAAGATTAAATATGTTTATAAAAATATTATAAAAAAAATAACAAGATACATTCCTATAAGCTCTTACACTCTCCTTTTTTCTCCAAAAGCAAAAATTTTTTTGCTTTTTCCAAAATCATGGTTTTGGTTTTTGGATGGGTGTTTGGGTGATTTATTCCCCAAACCATGGTTTGGAGTGTCACCCAAACACAGCCTTAAAAGTTCTATAATAAAATTATGTTGGTCACTGATACAATTCCCTATCCATGATTCTGCTCTGTACTGAAAGAATTTTACTGGAATATAGGAAGAATCCCTGAATAAGTAGAAAGAAAAAGAAAAGAATACGTCAATTTTTGAATGGTTAGCTTTTGTACAAAATAACAAATTTGGCCAAATATTTTATATATTAATAATATTTTTATTTATATTGAAAAGTTAAAATATGCTGTCAAAATATATATAAGAGTGAAAAATAGTAAGACTAAAAATTATGTTTTAATAAGACAGCATAATTTCTCATGCCCTTTTACTCTAAATGAAATTATTTATTACAAATAATTGAACATATTATTTACTCCTCCTATCCTTAATATAAGACCCATTTAACTAATTTGATTAGATTAAGGAAGTTAGGTAAGTTAGTTAATTATAAGAAATGTGACACGTTTTTCCTAAAATACTATAATCATCTTTCTTAATAACCACTTTTTCTTTTCTACTTGATTATGGTTGAAGGGGTATCCATAAGGATAATTTAGAAAAAATTAATAAATATGAGAAATAGGTCTTATATTAGGACCAAAACCAACTCAACAATTAGGGTTCTATATTAAGGACAGAGAAGTATCATTTATTTAGTTGATAAAACGTGTAACATGTGTGCCAGCCAAGCACTCTTTCTCCATCGGTGATTGACACACAATCTTCTCAACTAATTGATTGAAATTAAGAAATTTAGTTAAATTACGTACTACCTCCGGTCCTAATTATAAGAGCCAGTTGACTAATTTGAAAAGATTAAGGAAATAAGTTGAGTTAGTTATTTGTTCTAAATAGGTGTCGTATCCTTGCTAATCAAGT